GTTCCCCTGCCTGGCTTCCTTCTGCTTGAGTCCTTCCTGTATTTCCTTCTGCTGCCTCCACTGGGAGGAGTTGTTAATCTCACAGTGCAGCATCCTTGTGGGGCCACATATTATACTACACAAGGTCCACCCTCAGAGCAGGATCCATCTCCATCCTTTTTCTTTCATCTTCCTACTTCAGACATTGGCTGGGTCTGGTCCAGCAAGGCAGGCTGCTTTTTCTCTTTCTCCAAACTTGCCTGGCCATGTAGGTCTTTATATTAGTTGTCTGACAGCCTAGGCCGTCCTTTCTCTGAATAGTACCCTGAACATCACTCAAATAGGCCTACTCCAAAACATACAGGAAGTACACGAGGCTGGGTAACATGGCAACACTTAACTGCATGATGCATGTCAGACTTTTTAAATACCTGCTATTGTTATTGTTCTAGTGAAGTTACTAAAATGTAATGTTTTCTAACATCTGTAGGGTGTACACTGCCCTGAGGAAATCTTAAACAGAAGGATCAAATCACAGGGGCAGAATTTGGTGATAGCTCTTACCTGACCCCAATGTCATGATACCAAAACTTTACCTGCAACTCTTAATTATATTTATTCCTGATCACAATATTAATGCCAAATTAATTACCAATGAAAAACACCCTCTGTATTATTTTAGTATCTTCCATATATATTTTTGATTTTGAATTAATATCTGAGATAATTAGTGCTTTCCCAACAGCTGAATTTATAGGCAGGAAGTTTCTACGGTTGGATTCTTTACAAACTTTAACAACCTCTTTCAGTAGTTTTTCACAATATTAAGACATTTTATCTAACCTTTTGTGGGATCTTGGCGAGTGCTGATGCAATTACGTTGGCCCTTTCTTCTGACATGTTACTGATCATCGACCCCAGAGAAAACACCACAACACCATTGTCTCCAGAGCTCTGTACAAACTCTTCCATTTCCTGTGAAAAAAAGAACGTGTTCTATCATAATAGATTATCAGCACCGCAAGCACTGTGAAACAATTGGTATACAAACTAAAAAGAGAAAATCAACTGCTATCAGGAATAATTGTAATAAAGGATGTTTTTTCACTGACTCAATTATTCAGTTTTTTTTGCAAGATGTATACTATGACATTGGTTGCCTCTGTTAAGAGTATTTGTGTAAATATGTGTATATATGTGCGTGTGTGTGTGTGTGAAAGAGAGAAATGAAATAGAGCTATTACATAGTATATGGAGAGATACCCGAACTCTTCATTTATAATATTTTAAGTACTAATGTAGGCTCCTTAAAGTGGCACCATTTGGCTTTAATGCTATATTGTTGTTCTGCTACATCACATATGTTTATTTTACGCAAGTTTTCTGCAGAATTATTTTACTTGGAAGTCATTAGTAGTTGACTTCCCTGACTCTGAGCACTGAGGAAAAGTTACTCACAGCTGGGATTATGTAAATCTACATTTATCTTACTATAATCCTTTACACGTCACTTAAAGTTTGTCAGCGTTTTCCAGTCTTTTTTGAAAAGAAAAGAAAAAAAGTAACTGTAAAAAGTGGTGGTTAAGAATCACTGACATGCTGGAGTCTGCTATTGTGGTTTGGAGTTTCTATGAATTAATTCTAAGAGTCTCATTTATAATACAGAATTGTACAGTATATAGTTAGATAGTTGAATGATCATAGTTTTCAGCTGATTGTTTAGGTGGAACACCTATTGCCCTGAAATCACACTGTTAAATTGATGTGCTATCTTTAACTGCATGTGAGGAACTCTCATCATCTCTTTGCTGTGTCTCAGAGGCAGCAGCACTTGTACCAGAATGGAAGAGACTGCCAGGCCTTTCTGCAGAGGAGATTTAGTCACCTTCTTGAGTAGCTCACTCACATCACATACAAATCTTGGTGAAAATGTACTTGGCTGGAATTTATTGAGAATCATTCTGACTTGTGTTCCCCAATCTATGCCAATTTTTAAAGTTAAATAATTTCAGATGTAATCATTGGGATAAAACTTTCTCTTAAGTGTTCTTTACAAAACAAAGAACAAAAATCCAAATGTTTATTTGCAGACCACATATGGCTGAGTATTTTTAAAAATATGACTTCTAATCTTAAGAAATTGGTGTTAATGATATCAGAGTTATTGTAGTACTGTTCCAGGTAATACATGGGATACCCAGGTATTGTGTGTGATTGCAGTGACCTGTAGCCACATTTGATGTAACTTATGTTCAGTGTTTTGTCTCAGTGGCTTGATGCTCAGAGCTTTCTTCATCCACCCAGTGTTAAAAAAAATATAACCACGGTTTAAAGATTCATTATTGATGTGGACTAATTGTTTCCCATTCTGAGACAACTTAAAAAAAAACAACACTATTTATGTAAGGAATTTTATAAAAGTATTAAAAGTTCTAAAAAGAAAACAAATTTTTAAATAAAATGTCTGTCTAGAGATGTTATCATGGTAAACTATGTATGTTTTCAACATGGTTTTTGTTCTATTTTTATAGCTCAATGTACACTTGTGACATTTACTTAGACAATTTTG